AGAATGGTAATTTAGACAAAGTCCATCGTCGTAAGCAGAGGGGAAGGTACTTTGCACCACTACATGGTATATTGGTACCACGAAATGGCGGTAAAAGTGAAATGTTATGGGAAATTGACACGCAACTCGACCACTGACCACGGCCTAATAGCACACCCCACAGTCCGGTGGACATCCCACCATGACCTAATAGCACGCCTCATGGGGCGGTGGAAATCCCACCACGATGCGGTTACGCAACCAAAACATGGGTTTTAAACCTGCTAAGGCTTCATTTCAAACCAAAAAAACACACATCATAGTTGGGGGAGAGCAGATAACATGAAATTTTGAGGTTGAGAAACATAGCTAGAGATAGAGCCTAACAAGGGGTTAACATCCTTGCACTCCTAAGGTAATGATTTCTCCATTTTCTTAAGCTTTGAGCTTTAATGGTGAATGTGCTAGATTAGGGAGAATGTTTGGTTTGATCAAAGTATAGCATGTATATGATACTATTAAGGGTGTTTAGGAGCTTTGATCAAGCCTTGTGGGTGATTTCCATGATGAAATCAACCTATTGATAGTTAGTGTTTGAAAAACCTAACTAGTGATAATTTCAAATTGATTTATTAGAAATTATTGTAATGAACTAAGTAGTATGGGATGCTTAATTAACTTTTTGTATTGGCTTTAGAAATAGAAACTGAAAAGATAGAACTTTGATCCATTAAGTGAACATTTTGACATAAGACGGTCATTAAACTCTTAATAGGCTTAAAACAAGTTTAAAGGAACTTGAAATTTTTTATGAATATGCCTCTAGCAAGAACATAGGTCAAGATGCATCGATTGATGATAGGAAGCCAAAAGGTAGTTTGTCTTCACTAAATAACAAGGTGAGTAATTGCTATATATATATATATATATATATATATATATGTGTGTGTGTGTGTGTGTGTGTGTGTGTCTGTGTGTATGTGTGTATATATATACATATTACCTTAAGGAACTAAGTGAATGCCCTCAAGTTACTAGATGAAGATAGACTAAGAATATACATTTCAAAACATGTAGTTGGACATATACATATATTTAGAGTATGTATGAGGTATACGTTTAGAAACATGTAATAGAGCATGTATATATACCTAGAGAATGTATGGTTAGATGAGAAGGGTATTTGTTAAATACTTGAGAGCTGGTAGAAAGATTTATAACATGATTATATGCATTGTTATCATATAAATGAGTATATATGCATGTGTAGATGTTAATGGTATTGTATAGAATACCTAAGAGATGTTATAAGAAGATAAAGATTAAGTACTTAATGATTTGAGTACTAGATGAGTAGTAGAAGATCTCTTGATGAGATAAAGAGATGGATCGTCCATTGAACAAATGTTATGTGATGAGTCACATAAAAGAGTTAAAGAAAAGTATAAAGATGATTCCATTGGGAATGCGATAGATATTCATTCGAGAATAAGAGAATTGTTCCTTCGAGAATAAAGTGTAAGATTCCTTTGGAATAAAATATATATTCCTACAGGAATAAGAGTATGGTCCCTTTAGGGGTGTAGATAAATAATTCCGACAATAATGGGATTGTGTATAGTTAGAGAAGATAGATGAAGGGTTCCATGAGTGGAACAAGGTAAGAAAGTTCTTTTGAGAATTTGGATGTAATATGTGAGGGAGTAAAAGTAAAGAATCGATGAGGAATTCAAGAGAAGAATAATGTCAAGGGATCCATAGGGGATCAAGATGAGGGGATTATGTTCAGATGGTTATTCCCGGTAAGATTAGAGGTATTTTGTTCTCTTACATGATAATGTACTTATCATATATGATTGGACAATTTGGGTCTAAATGAGAATAAAATGTTGAGGCATGAAAACCTGAGAATATAGAGATTAGATTTAAGTAGAGTAAGAGAAAGGAATGTTGAGAGTAAGAGATGAGAAAGGAGCAAAGTATGAGGATGAGAATGACATGCGTAGAGAGAGGAAATAGCAGAGAAATATGAGATGAGAAGAGAAAAGAGAAAAAGTAAGAAGATCATGAGAAATGTAAAGAAAAAGAAGATATAGCATGTATAGAGTATGAGATGAGCCTGAGAAGAGGCTAATAAGAAATAGGAGAAAATAGGAGAGAGCATGATATGAGATATAGCAATAATAGAAAGTAAGGATGAGAAAAATGGTAGAAGAGATAGATGAGATAAAAAAAGATTGAGAATAGAATATAGTATATATGAGAACAGAGGAAAAAATTTAGAGTATGTGAAAAAAGAGAAAGATCGGTAGAAGAGTATGATAAAATTAAGTAGTTAGAATATAACTCACCAGAATTGTGCTATGATGTAGTAGATGTTTTTCATGTTTTGTAGGTTAGGTAGCAATCGTTTTACATGAGAAGATAGGAGCAAAAGGACTTACACTAGAAGTATATTTTACTTTAGTTTTCCTTATGGTCGTATTTATAGATATATTTTATTGTAAACCTAAAAAAACATTGGGTTTAAAGTGTTTTAATTTTTATAGATTTCCACATTTTGTAGAAATATCTTTGATAAATCACTAGTTAATTAAATGATGAAAATGATGATGTTGTAGTTGTATATTATTCTAGTGATGATTTTGATTACATGTATGTTAAGGTTATTATATATCATGATTTCTTATAATATTTGTTAAATTTTTAAATGTTGCTTTAAGTTTTGTTTAAATTACGTTTAATATATATTTTGAATGTTTATAATGTTTGTTAAATAGATAGAAGCACATGTCGCGAAGGGATATGGAAAAGATGGAGAGAATAGACCTCCACACGAGGGTGCATACATGATAGCATTGGGTTGCGAATCTTGTAAGTTACATAAATTCTTAAGTATTAGATATATTTTTAAAGTTCTAAATTTCCAAATTTCAAATTCTATGTGTAAATGTAGCAAACCTAAAGAATATGTATGCCTTAGGAAGGAACTTAAATCTATATGAATTGTATGCCGATAATGGTAAGAAGCATTTAGTCGTGCCACTTGATACCACTGAGGAGACAAGTCGATTCATAAGGGATAACGGACAAATATTTGTTATATTGATCTCAAATCAGGTGGCATCAAAGGTATCGTTGCATTATCCATCTTAGTGCCATGTTCCTATCAACTACAAAGAGCTATATATCCCGAGTTAAAAGTAAGTATACAATACTTTTTATATGTATTGAATATTACACTGATTAAATATTTCTTTTACTAATTAAATATGTTTTTGTGAAGACCTATTTTGAGCTTAATAGGTTTCGGGGTACAAATTTATGGGAACTCGTTTGAGAGGGTATCCAAGCAGACTACCAAAGAGCATGTGCAGAACACACATATGATGCAAAATGTCATTTTGACGAGGTCAACAAATATGCGGACGTGGAAACTACAAGAAGACATTCACCGTGGGGTTGGGAAGCTAGTACTTGGAATGACATGATTGATTTGTTGTTTTTGTCCCCGGAATATTAACGTATATCAGAAATAAAATAAAAATAAAGGTAGTAGGGCAAAACTTTCACATACAAGTGCTCATTGTTGTATGTCATATGCATATAGAGGTAATAAAATTTATTTTTTATTATATAATGTTTTTATTAACACTTATAAAAATATATTTATTTTTATTGGCTTATTATACAAATAGAAAGGATAGAAGTTGTGACATGTTGAGGGTTAGAGACATATGCGCTTTCAGGAATGCTCAGTTTAGTGTACACATCGAACACAAGGAGATTTAGTAAGTAATAAATGAAATTAATACATTGTTTAAATATGTTATTATTATTATATATTTTTGTTTAGTGTATATTATTATTCTTGTAGTGTTTAAATTGTTCGTTTTAATTAATGTATGTTTAATGTGCTCTTTATTTTAAGAAAAGATTCAAGAAGAGTATAGGAAATTGCAAAAAGAGGTCGTAGAGTGCGAAGATGTAAATGAGCTTCAATGTCTCAATCATACCCTCGGGACGAGACACGGACATACTCGAAGAGTTGGAGGAAACCAACACCCAATAATTTATTTCCAAATCACCCACCTTCCACATCTTCCCAATATCAATCCTAAAATATGAGTGATACCCAATTTTGCGCATTAACCAGCAAATGAAAAAAAAATGTATAACGACTCATTATTGGACGCAATTCATATTTTTCAACCAACGTAAATATCACAGTTTCAGTTTGATGCCAATATTTTTCGAGAAATATCCATAAACTAACCGACGAGACAGAGGATAGAAAAGATTATGATTATTGATCTTTTGTGTTATTGTTTATTGTATCTCATTTTGGTATGTACTAGACTTGAATTTGAACAATATGTGTTGGTATGATTTATTGAATGTTTGTATATTATGGATATATGTTGCAAATTATCTAGATTCTTTAAACAAACATGAATGGTAAATAATAGAATCGGTAAAAAAAAATGTACTTGTTATACCGATGACATGTCGTCGCTATAGAGTTTACCTATGGTGACGACTTGTTGTCGGTACAAGTAAATAATAAAACATTATTTTGTGCATACGACATGTTGTCGGTATAGGGGTAGCTATCCCGACGACATCTATGCCTATGAGTTTTTCCACCTATGTCGACTTGGTATGTCGACGACAGTGTGCAGACGATTTGTCGCCGGTTTAAGCTATCCCGACGACTTGACGCATCGTAGGGTTAAAAAAGGTCAAGGACATAGGGGTAGATTCATGTAGCGAAACCATAATTGTTAGAATTGTATTGCACATTAATAAAAAGATCATGGTGTAAGTATAAACCTAAACTTTATCTTGTACTTGCTTTTTCAACTAACGGATGCTTATATTATCATGGATATAGGTGTTACTGAACCAGTCAATATCTCATTGTATATTTCGTTTTTCTTATGCTTGTTTATTGTTCTATGGTGAATGTTTTAATATTTTTACATAGTGTGTTAACATTATATGAAAAAACATATTTTAAATTAAGATGTATTTCCACGTACCAAATCATAGTGATGAGATATGTTCCTGCGTGCTTGGGTAACAGAGTTATGCATCAAAACATGATGACAGAAATACTTTGCAGATGCTATAATTGCTGTTGAAAACATCGGTGTCCACCAACCTCTGGAGCCACACACAATGAGTTCTATTAATTTAATGAACAATTATAACCTTTGAAACATGTGATAGTTGTGTATAAGCTATATTTACCTTTTGTTAGATGTCAATGAATAATTTTTTAGCTCATAGTTTACAATAAGAATCTGCAAAACTAGCATACTTTAATGTGAAAGCACAAAAAAAAACCTACTTGAATAGCAACCATAAGCCATGAGATTTACCACAATCAAACTTAAAAGGCCATTTGTTTGATCAGCAAAAGAAAAATCCCCTTTAATGTATGCGCCAAATAGACCTAACTCATCTTCTGTAGCAAGCTGCAAAAGGACTTGAGCATCGTAATTTAATCATTTGAGAATTACTAAATAACTGTCATAATTAAAAACGTTCATGGATATTGTAGCTATTTTTGTAAGAGATCATAAAGTCTTTATATAGTGATAACCAGAGATATAAAACTAAGTTAGAGTCTTGACCTTCCAATAAAATCGAGGATTTTGAACTTTGAGATAAACTTTTGTAGAGTTCTTCTTTCTTGTTCCTTCGAATGTGAATCTTGCACCACCTTCTTCCAATAAACTATAATAACGTTATATGTGTTATACCAACCTTTACAATGTATTGAAATAAAGAGCTCAAAATAAAACAATTATGTGTCTGTTATACCAACCTTTATCATGTATTAGAATAGAGAGCTCAAAATAGAACAATTATGTGGTTGTTGAGTCAAAAAAAATTAGAAAAAAAAAAAAAAAAGAAAGAAAGATGAAGAGATAATACCAATGAAGATGCAATGTATAAATATAATCTATGGTTATATATATATATATATATATATATATATATATATATATATATATATATATGAGCCTACACAAAGAGGCAGATATAAATAGTTATTCTTTTTGAGATGGTTTCGTACATGGAAATAATTATTAGATTTTATTATTAGTTATTATCGTTTTCAAAGAGTTATTGGTGTCTAGTTTAAAAAATATGAATTAATTTGTATACATATTTTAAAATTGTCATTTTACTTCAATTTAAATTTCTTAATAACCTTCCTTAATTATAGTTTTCAAATTTTTGACAAATATTAATGATTTATTCATGTATAACTGATTTGTAAAAAAACTTTGTATCTTATACCTCATAAAACTCAAGATATATATGACTATTATGTTATATATATGACTATTATATTATATTATATTGTATATATATATATATATATATATATATATATATATATATATATATATATATAACAGATATTTTAGTTAGTATGAAATGTAATAGTTTTTTTGCATATATGTAAAAATCTAAGATTCTTTTCTAAATATTGGTATATAAATGATTGTGTTTTTTTGTATTTTGCTATATATATATATATATATACAAAAAACACAATCATTTATACATGACATTTAGAAAAGATATTAGATTTTTACATCTATGCAGAAATAACTTTACATTTCACACTAACCCAAATATCCACTTTTTAAAAAGAAATTACAGGGTTTTTTTCAAATGTAACATTTATTTTTTTGTTTTTACGTTAACATAGAAACACAAATGAGTGAGGTTGTCTCTTGTCTAGGGTAAAACATGAGAAATTAATCATTAATCAACGACCATTTACTTAAACGGAAATAAATGACATCATTTATTTTTTTAAAATGTCAACTTAAAAACGAATAGGATAAATATCATATCAAAAAACAACTAGTAACTTCTTTAAAAAACGAATATTTTGATAAATCTAAAAAGGTAAGTTAAAATGTGAGGGTTTTTTTATATATAAACAAAATATAAGAGTGTTTATGAACGTCGTTGGATAAATGATTTTGTTTTTCTGCATTTTGGATATATATATATATATATATATATATATATATATATATATATATATATATATATATATATATATATATATATGTGTGTGTGTGTGCGCGCGCGCGCGCGCATAAAAGAATGTGACTCACATTAAGGTACCAATAGCAATAAATTCTTGAAGGAACCTAACAACAAGTGACCTCGCCCCAATTTCCATCAAAGATGGTTCCATAGTTTTCGGGTTATTCAGAATTTCACAGGTCTTTTTAAGAATGCCATTTGCCGCAACCATACCCGCCTGAAAGACAATAAAAGACCATGTAAGACATTAACTTTTATGTGCTCTCTATTTATGAAAAATTGAACAAAATTGTGTAATGAGTACTTATTTGATCTACACAAGAGGTAAGCATGCAATATTAACTTGTGTAACATGTTACCTTCACACCATCCTCAAGGATCCCATGACCTATAAAAATAAATTATACTTTGTAAAATTAAGATAAAGTAATTAAACTTTGAACATAGACGAAAATACTTACAATTGAAACACTTATTTCCTGTATAGTCATAAATTAATCAAAAACTTGTGACATAAAGGGTACTATGATGTAAAATAACCTTTTGTAGAGTTTATGTATGAGAATAATATGGATGATTTTAAAAAATATTATATAAACCCCTTTTTGGTTCTATGAAACACTGGTCAATTTCAAGTTAAATCCTAGCATGTCACTCTCTTAATCTCATAAACAATTTCTACGTATGACCTTTAGTTATCTAATGAATTCAATTACTTTTGTCAAGTTCAAATATATATGAATTCGTATATGCTTTTACCATAATTACAACGACATTTACAAAGTTACAATAAACCTTGCATTACAATATCATCTTATACTTTCTTGAAGGGACAAGACATTGTTTATATTGAGATTTGGGTGTATGGCATTCAAAAGTCAATTATGAGATGGTGAACTATTATTTAGATGAAAAGGGCCCTTGATTATCTATTTGAAGGTATCATGACACCTATCTATGAAGAATGACAAAGGAAGAATACTACCTTGGTATCCTCCACAAAACCAAATTCTTCGCTTTCCTTGGATGTAAGCAAGCTCAAGAACAGCCTTTGTTGCTGCAACTGATGGAATTGACAGTCCTAGTGACCATTTATGCAATGTACTTTTTGGTGTTCGAGAAGGATTAACAGTGACAAGAAAAGGTAGCTCATTGTCATCAATGTTCTGCATTTTAATTTAATAGTTAAACCACTAAAACCTATTTAAACAAGATGGTAGTAACAAACACTTGAAATATAATAAGAATTTAATTATATATATATATATATATATATATATATATATATATATATATATATATATATATATATAATTTATGATTGATATATGAGTTAATAAGTTGTTGTAGCTGAAGTTTACGATTGATTATTGTTATAGGAGCTACTAAATGATGTTGTATGTATATATAATTTAAACTCCGGCACGGGTCTCATGAATGTATCTTCAGCCGATTGGGGCCTCTAGAACTATTAACCTGATCATTTATGTGTTAATCGTTTTAGAAATATTAATATTTTAGGTTTTTCAATTATTCATTGTGTGTTTTATTTCATCAAATTTGGGATATTTCTATAATGAATCACTGGATAGTATATCATTCTTTGATATGTACACAAAAATTGTGCCTATCTAGTAATAATAAATAAAGATTGCCAATTTAGTTCCTGGGTTTTATTCTAAAATTGATTCATGTGATCATAAGATATTTGCTACTTTTAGCTTATCAATGACATAACATCCCAGAATCACTTACCAATCATTGTTGGAGGTAAAAATTATTATATTAAGGTATACAGTAATTAAAATTTTCAATATGATCTAAACCTTATAGAAATTTAATCTCTTTTATGATATGGAAACAAAAGTTTGAGCAAAATGATCATTTTGTAGGACACAATGAAGCAAAGTTGAATTTCATGAAGCTTTTGGTTGTTGAGTGAAGTATCTTCAAAGAAAGGATCTAAAGCTATCTTTAAAGAAAGGAACTAAAGCTTGCAATTCAGAGTGATATTATGAAGCAAAATTAAAAAGAATATTTTTTGTATTAGAATTTACCTGTATACACCTAAATGAATTAAGTTCATGTTAGAATATATATATATATATATATATATATATATATATATATATATATATATATATATATATATATATATATATATATATATATATGTTGATAGTATTAGTGTATTTATTTTATATAAATTTCATATTATATATATATATTTTTTTGTTGTCATTTGAATATATAGTGTTCATGTTAGACAAAGCCGGTCCTGAAAAATTAAATATTTTCAAAGACCCAGAATAAACAAAAAAAAAGTTATTATCTTTGTTATAATTTTTTATTTTTAAATAAAAATATATAAATAAAAAAATTGGGCCCTGCTATCAATTTATTTCTTTTCTTTCTTACACTTATCTAATAATTTATAACTTCATAATTTAAATTATTTTTTTAGCTTCACAAGTCTACACAAAATTACCAGTATACATTAATTATTATATGTAAATTTTTGTTTGCATTTATGATTTAATAAATTATTATTTTTATTACAAATTTTTTATGTGCTTAACAATTATTTGTTTTTATACATATAAAAAAGGGTTCAAAGCAACATCACATTCATCAACCATACTTCAATATAGTATAGTATTGATTTTTTATATTTTATTTTCTAATGTTATCAATCTACTTTAATTGTTTATATTTACTTGTATTTTTTGTGTGAGATTTTATAAAAGAAAATAACTAATGAAGCAATATCAGTTTGTTGGGAAATAATTATGGTTGGTTTTTATTGATTTAAGTTGAAAAGTAAAATGAAAATTTTTATTTTAAAATCGAAATTTAATTCCATCCATTTTGTATGTTAAATTTTTTGATCCCTAACTACAATTTTTATGTATAACTTTTGGACCAAAGCTTGTTGTTTTTTTATCAAATATATCCATTAATTTGTATCATTTTATTTTTATTATTTTATAATAATATGTAAAACTTGATCTAAATTTCTTAACTATTTATGATAGATAAAAAGTATTGAAAAATTCTTTTATTATTAAAAAAATAGTTTATTTAGATTTTAGTTTGTTTTCGTAGTCTTTAGACAGTTAAAAAACAAACAATCTTATTTATCAGATTACAGACATTTAGTCCATGTTTTCTATTACAGATTTGTGCAGACTGTAAACATGTTGGCTTAGCAAAAACAAATAATGTCTAACATCTATTCTCTAGAGGCTATGTGGTTGTTTGTAGGAGTGGGTATAATGTAGATTTCCTCTCTAATTTTTTGGAGCATGTGTTACATTTTAAGGGTTTTTTTTTTTTTTTGAAATAAGAACTTCCCTAACGAGTTTCCATGTTAATTTTCGCACATCAACTAATCCCCGTTACAAACATAAGTCTATACCTCACGTCATTAGGCCACCGTAAGTGAAACCTCCATATAGGCACAAGGGTTGAATAGTCAAAATTTGAACATTGATAAATAAGTTATTCGGTTCGAATTAATTATTGTTTGCTAAGTAACATAATCTATCTACCATGGTGATACTATCAAACTAATAGAAGTGTGTTTTCACATCATTTCATTTCTCGTAATTGATAAATATAATCGTAAATTTGTATTCGTTTAAGAACGCTCAATGAGCATATTAAAATTTAAGATTGAAAACATCATGTGTACCTGGAGCACATTTAACCAGTACGTTAAGCACACTTTGTTATCCTTAGTTCCAAGAAAATTCAGTGCACTCCATGTTGTTCGGTTTCGAGGCATTAGACTTGTGTCATTGTGTAGAAAAACGTCACTACAAAAAGAAACATTTATTATCCATTTAAAATCACTATAGCAACGACATGGCTGTAGAGAATAAATTATTGGGATGACCCAAAGAAACTTAATCGTCTTCGCTTCATAGCTAGGCATCCATCAGTTTGGTTGATTCAGTTCAATTGGGAGCCGTCACGTTTTCGTTTGTTTGAAGATTTTGTATTCGTGTTGTCTTTCAAAAAAAAGCTCTCAAAGACACGTTAGAAGGTAAGATGTTTTCATTTGTTTGGGAGCCAAACTTGTTCTAGCTTTTTCTTAAATGTTACAATCCTTTTTGCTAGCCACGAGCTAGTTTATGATGATATTAACGTTTACAGAAAAGGTTGTCAATCCATACATTAAGTAGGCCAAGATCACTCCAACGTAAAGCAACATAATACCTATATACATAATTAAAAGCCCCAAGTATTCTTCTTTCTTCATTTGTAGCTTCTTCCCCCAACAATCTCAGAGTTTGATGGGCATCCGCGTCTATTATGCATCCACCAAACCTTTCTTCAGAGCCATCCTCACATAGAAGTAGACAACCTACTCATAGATCATAGATCATATTGCATACCCATTAGCCAATTTACTTACTTCATTAGTGTAACACTACTTATTAAGCAAAAATTTAAGTAAAAAGTAACAGTTGATTCAGTGATGGTTTTGTTATGGTGTCCGTAGTGGCACCGAAAACACTTAATTTTTCCGGACGCAATGCAAAAAAAATCAAAAAAAATTTTCTATTATTGTGTCACTGTATAGAAAAAATATAAAACTACGTAAAAGAAATATGTGATTCTAGGGTGCAATTTAGAAGCCCAAAAACATAACTACAAGCCTTATGTTTTAAATTTTAGACAAAATTGCAAAATGGTCCCTATGGTATGCATTTTTTTGGGGTTTTAGTCAAAACCACAACTATTTTGGATTGGTGATTCTGTTGAAATAGTTTCATTGCGTTTTTTGTCCTTTGGTAACCTGAAATGACTGTAACGCCCTTCTGATATTTTTTTAATGTTTTTTATATTTAATTTAAATGAAAAAGAAAATAAATAATTAAATTGGACCCACATCTCTCTCTCTCTCTCTCTCTCTCTCTCTCTCTCCCTCTCTACACAAACACATACACACAATCCCCATCCCCTTTTGTTCCCCAGTCGGACCATTCACCTTCATCGCTCCTTGCTTCATCCTACACCTTCGTCTTCTTCTCTCGCACATCTGTTTGAGTTCATCCCTAATCTTCACTTCTCATCTCATCCACCCCTCTCTGCCCCTCTTTGATCTTTTCCTCCATCTCAAAACAACAATCTGCATATTTGGAAGAATTCTTAGCTCATCATCACTTTAGGAAGGATTCACACACACTTTTTGAAATCGATCGAGAAGTTGAAGACATACCAAGAAATGAAATAGATTTCAAATATGTCAAGATTCAACCACTTTAAACCTAGTAAACCCTAATGGATCGATTAATAGGTGTGTGTATATATATTTTCAGTTGTAGCTCTCAAGGATCCGATTTAAGGGTGGTGGTTGGTGGTTCAGGAAAAGGGTGAATGAAGGTGTTCGATTGTGGGTGATTAAGGTGACTTAGTAGATGGTTTATCAAGAGGATTAAGGGTAGTGTTAAGTTGCAGGGTTGATAATCGATGTTGATTCTTGAAATTGATTGACATGGTAGGGGTGTTGGTATGCTGAACCCAATTTTGAAAACGGTTGAATAGATATCACGTTATTTTTTTTATCAATTACAATTCGCTTTACAATTTGTAAATTGATTCTACCATATCTGATGTCGATTCATTCTTGTTTCTGTTATAATCTCGATGGTGGCTCTTGAATGATTGAGATTTGTGAAATTTTCTTCTGATAATGGATGGAGGTGATGATGGTGAGACTGAATTTCTCTATATGTGGCGGTGGGTAGATGGTGGTTGATATGATAAGAAAATGGAGTGGTGCAGGTTATTATGGAGAGGGAGAGATGATGATGGGTGATTCATAAAGAAGACGATGAACATGGCCCCATTTCTTCTATTGGTAAATCATGTAGAGAGAGAGAGAGAGAGAGAGAGAGAGAGCCTTCTTAATTTATTAATTATTAAAATAAATAAAATAGTATTAGATTTAAAAAGAAATGAAAGAATAATGAAAATTAAATACCCTAAGGGTATTATAGTTATTTCAATTTTCAGATGGACTATTTTCACATACAAACTACTTCAAAAGGACCACATATCCAAAAAAAGTCATGGTTTGGACTAAAACACTAAAAAAATGCATACCACAAGAACCATTTTCTTCAATTTTGTCTAAATTTTATTTCAACATTTGAAATCCCCTCAAAAAAAAAGACCAATGGCTAGAAGCTAAAATATTTTAATTCAATATTACATTGATTTGCAATGTTGAGAACAAAACACTTTTAAAAGTTGAGACTGACAAATTAATGGAGCATATTCAAAAAATCTCTACATGAAGAGGTCAAATTTGAATTTTAATTAAAATGTTACTATGTTACTATGTTAATGGATTGCTTTTTGTATTATACGTAATAAATTGTTTTCATGTTTTATATTATGTTTTGAAAAAAAAATCTTGCAATATCTACGATAAAATTCTACCGTGTCCACCAGTGAGTGGACAAAAGATCATGTCACTTGTGCGTTTTGTGAAATACAACACTTATCGAGAGTTTAAACGATGACATGTTAGAAATATTAATGTTGCACAATTAAGCTTTTACATGGGTGTTGAGTGAATTGGTGTGTGCGCTTCAAATAGTGTGGTTTATTTTATATATATATATATATATATATATATATATATATATATATATATATATATATGTGTGTGTGTGTGTAAATCGATCACAAAACGATTTAATTTAGGAAAATCATAACAAATAGTAGGTGGCATATACAATAGAAAATGAAGATTCAAGCAGTCAAAGAAATTATTTACCATCATCACGTTTTGAGACGTATTTTATGGCATAACCCGTCCTTATCTGGCAGCCGCTAGACAACATATCTTCTTTGATCTGTTATTCAGTCCAACATGTAATTAGGATGATTAAACTTTATCATACGATATGTACATGTGGCCCAATGTCACTAAGTGTATAAGAAAATGGTTCCTTAACCTACTGAGGGTTCTTTGTTGGAATATATATATATATATATATATATATATATATATATATATATATATATATATATATAATATATATATATATAGGGTAAAGTGAATATACCTAACAACCTTATATAAGCTTAGGTACCTAACTCCATAATACTACATCGGTTTGTATCATATTTACATTGTAATTGCCTAAGGTTCTTAAACTTCAACCCTATAACTTCATTATTTTCAAAATCTTTGGATTTTGAACAATATCTTTCTTTTACATTACGTCTTTCTATCGAATACCACCTAATGGGCTTCATATCCTACCGCTACAAATGAAAGGATGTCGGAGAAATACAATGATGAATTTCCAAATTTTTTTGAAGTAAATCAAGTTTACAGATGAACTTTAAGAACCTTGGATGATTGCAATGAAAATTTAATGCAAAATGACGTAGTTTGATGAGGTTAGGTACCTAAGCTTATATAAGGTTGTTAGGTATATTCACTTTATATATATATATATATATATATATATATATATATATATATATATATATATATATATATATATATATATATATATATATGAGAGTAGGATTAGAGTGTGTATGAGTTAGTTGCTTAAACAATGATGATTATACTTTGAACCAGGGAAAATTCAACCTGAAAAATAATAAATCACCTTTTTAATGTAGGTCTGTGAGCCACCCCTAACGATATACCATTGAGGACCACTGAACATCTAACAAAAGATAGACGACAAATAAATTCCTGAAAATTGTTATCTATTGTATAATTAATGAACTACATGTATGTTGTAGTTAAATTTTTCACTATGAATAAACATTAAAAGGTGTACCTGAAATAGATGGTGATTGTTGAAATATGAGAGAGCAGAAAAAGCAGATAACCTCATAACTACGTGTGTAGGGCAGGACCACAAGGAAGAGCATATTGGAACCTGTGTTAGGCATTCATTTCATTTGTTCAACAAAGATTTATTTAGTAATTATTTGAAAGGTTAAACATAGTAGAAGGATACAATTTCAAAAGGTTTCTCACAAGATAAGCCTTTTGAAATAACTCTGAATAACCATGTGACTTGATGAAATCCCACAAGGTATCATCGTGACTGATATCTTGATTGCGTTGAAACTCTTCAAGGTACCTATATATGTCAGTTATAAAGTTAATTAAAAGTGAACTGCTACCTAGGTTGTCATATTAACCATTCGACATTTGACTTATATACTCTATGACTTATATACACTACGACTTATATACTCTACGTATGAAAATCAAAGCAATGGAAACCTTACACATTACTTTAGAACTTGCAAGCATGAGGATTGGAACTAGGGAAATGGACTTAATAAGGTAATTAAAATTTTGATTTGTTCACATCTAGGTAACTATCTATTTTTATACATATATACGTAACGAACTTTTATAAGTGTTCACATATGACTGGCTGCTACATCCGGTCATAATCGATCATAATGATCATATGTAAACATTTCCAAAAAGTTCGTTACGTAGATGTTTATAAAAAAAATTGTTACACCAATGTGAACACACCGAAAAGGTAAAAGTAAATTACACGAATTGTTCCTGTAGTTTGGGTAATTTGTGTGTTTGGTCCCTAACTTATTTTTTTAACCTATATGATCCCTATTGTTAATTTTTATTGTGTGTTTGGTCCCTAACTTATTTTTTTACCTCAAAAACTATTATGCCTTTTTTAATTTATTTTTTAATTAGTTTTCTTATTTATGTATTTATTTTTTTATATATTTTAAAAAATTAATAGACCCCACATCAACGTCTTCACTAACACTTTTTTTAGGTACTTCAACTCCGACAAACCAACCCCACAACCCACTGTCTATTCATTGAATTTTCTACCACTACAAGCCAATAAAAGGGTTGTGGGTTTGTTCGTCGAAGTTGAAGGACCGAAAAAGAAAGGATAGTGAAGACGTAGATGTCATTAAAGATGGAAAGAAAAGTGAAGTTAAGGAGAATGAGAGATGGGATGGTAACTGGTGGGACCGAGCTTAAATTTCTCGAATGTGGTTTCAAGTTTAGGATGAGTAGATACAAATATGTGGGGTCTATTAATTTTTTAAAATATATAAAAAA